AATTTAAATTACCATATAAAAACAAATCATAAACCAAGTTTATTAGAATATGAAAAAAACTTTTATATAAGTTAACATAAGTTTTGACTAAAGTTTTAACATTTACTAAAAAAATCTGGAAAACAAAAAGATTCTGAAATAGACTAGGTTGAATGAAGAAGGAATATTCGAAGGAATTTTTTGGTTGGATTCAGGAAGAATAAAAAAAACTAACAAGCTAGGATAATAACACATGTTGCATTACATAATATGTAAATACAGTAGACTGAAATATAATGAAAATATATAGAATAGATTAATAATGATAGATTATAGATTAGTGTTGATAATCTTTTACATATAATATTGGTAAGTATTCTTCTTTTTACTGGATCATGGCCTTCAATTCGGCAAAAGTTGGTCTTTTCTTTGGATCTACATTCAAGCATTTTGGTATTAAGCCAATGAATTTCTCCATTTCTGCAGTAGTCACCAAGTTCTTAACATCTTGGGGTCTCATCAAATTGGTGAAATGTTTCGAGTTATTATTTATATGCTCAAGTACATGATCTTCATTGATTCTATCATACGGAGTCTGACCCAATGAGAAAATTTCATAAAGGACAATTCCAAAAGACCAAACATCAGATTTATTCGAAAATATGTCCTCCTTTATAGATTCTGGACCCATCCATCGATATTTAGGATTGTCGAGTTTTCCTTTTATATAATTTTGGCCATCAGGAAGAACTCTCATTTCTCGCAAACCACATATTTCTATATCGCCGTCTTTGGTCAGCAAGATATGTTTCGCAGCTAAAGATCGATGTACTAAATCCTGGCTTTCTAAATACTCCATGCCGTCAATAATCTGCCGACAATATGTAGGGAAAAGTTCTTCGTCTATAATAATATTCTCTTTCTCTCTTAAATAATGCAACAAAATGTAGTCTAGTTTTTCAGTAATGATGTAATGTTTTGGAGTTTCGATCCAGGCAAGAACTTGCGTATATTTGGATGTTTCAGTGATTTACTTAAATTTATCTCCTTCTTAAAATTTTCATGTTCTTGACTTTCCACGCCATCTATTGTGGTTGTTACCAAGAGTGGCTTTCCTCGAAATGTACCAGATCTTACCTCTTTAACTTCGTTTATATTGAACTTCGCCGATTGTCAACTCATCAAAGTGAACCACAAAAAAGGCTGAGGAATTAATAAACAGAAATTAATTATTTCTATAGGTTATAAAAACAATAGTGTATAAAGTTTTTCTAAGTAATTAGTATTATCAACTTCCCGAAGGAGAAGTTTAGGTTTCATAAAAAAATCCGATTCGCTAATTTTATGTTTTTTCGACGTTCAAGCCATTCTGAATCGAATGAGACCAAATTTGAAAAAGTATGTGTGTGTGTGTGTGTGTGCGTGTATGTTGAACAGATTTTTGGCCGTAAATCGACGTTTCTCAAAAACGGCTGGGCCGATTTCAAAAAATTTAAAAGCCGATCGATGTATCTCCATGAGGACTATCGTTGCCTGAGTTTTGTGCGACGATCGGCCGGGCCGTTTCTTTGTAAATTGCAGAAAAGTGAAAATTGAATCGTCTCGTTCTGTAGCCCGCGCAATTCTGAATCGATTTTGAAATTGAGAAGAATATTTGGGAATATTGGTGTGAGATATTGTTGGGGTGATCGATTTACGATATAAAGGTCGTGCCGACGTTTTTGTAATAAAGAGGTGACGATTTTATGATTTTATTTGACAGTGACAGAGATATCATATAGTCTTGTAGATCATACTAAAATATTATCGGCCCTACAACAAATCGTATTTAATTTTGAAAATTCTTCAAAGTTTGCAAAAAATTACTATCGTTTTTTGGCATTTATCAAAATTAGACCTTTGATCGATGTTTTCTCAAAAACGCCCTGAACCGATACCAGAAATTTTTTATATATATGTAATTTGATGTATTCAATGAGGACTGTCGTTTGTGACAACTTTGTGAGACGATCTGTCGAGCCGTTTCTTTGTAATTTGAAACTAGTTGGTTTGGTATTTAGCCTTGAGGCAAGTTACATGAACTTCCCGATATGTGTAAATAATCGATTAATCAAACAAAAAAATGTGTAAATAATATACTTCATCAATCCTACTTTAAAAAAACGATAATAATTTTAGTAAAGTTTGACGATTTTTTAAAATTAAACTACTTGTCGCAATGCCGTAATATTACAGTAAGTTCTATAAGGCCATGGTGTATATCGCCAAAAAAAGTTCCATGAAAATCGGCTTAAATTTTTTTTTCAACAGTTAATTATAAGAAAACGGCTCGGTAGATTTTCACCTAAAACTAATCAGTATCATTCCCAATTAATATCTTTCGAACAGTTTTTGATTTTTTAAAATCGGTTCGGTAGGATAAGCTTAAATATGGACGAAAATTGAACACTTTTTTTCAAATTGCAAAGAAACGGCTTGGCAGATCGTCGCACAAAACTGACAAACGATAGTCCTCACCGAAATACATCAAATGGCTCTTAAATTTCTGAAATCGGTTCAGGCACTTTTGAGAAAACGTCGATCAAAAGTCTAATTTTGACAAATGTCAAAAAAACTATACCAATTTTTGCAAACTTTGACGAATTTTTAAAGCTAAACGAGTTGTCGTAGGGCCGTAATATTTTAGTATGACCTAGAAAACTATGGTATTTACCGTCAAAAAAAAAAACTTAAAAAACGTCGAATTTTTTTTTCTAAAACGTTATTACAAGAAAACGGCTCGGCCGATCTTTACCAAAAATTTTATTAATTAAATACTAATCAGCACGATTCCCAAGCAATATCTATCGAATGGTTTTTGAATTTTCAGAATCGATTCAGAATTGCGGGCTAAAACGTGGGCGAAAAATTTTTCACTTTTCTGCAATTTACAAAGAAACGGCCCGGCCGATCGCCGCACAAAACTCAGAGACGATAGTCCTCATCGAGATACATCAAATGGCTTTTAAATTTTTGAAATCGGTTCAGCCGTTTTTGGAGAAAACGTCGATTTACGGCATAAAAAATCTGTTCACTCACACACTCACACATACACACACACACCACACACACACACACTTTTTCCAAATTTGGTCTCATTCGATTCAGAATGGCTCGAAACGTCGAGAAAACATAAAATTAGCGAATCGGATTTTTTGATGAAAACATAAACTTCTCCTTCGGGAAGTTAATGATAACTTTTTTCTCAAAATTTTTTTTCAGAATTTTGAAAAAAAAAATTCAAAATTTAAAAAAAAAATTCAATGTTTCAAAAAATCAAATTTGCAATTTTTTTATAATTTTCAAAAAAATAATCAAAATTTTGAAAAATTAAAAAATATATCAAAATTTTCAAAAAAGAAGAGAATGTTCACAAAAAACTCCAAATTCTCAATTTTGGATTTTCAAAAAAACAAAATTAGAAAATAATAATAATAATATTAGAAAAAATAAACAAATATTTTCTAGACATACATAATAGTTGTTTGTAGAATACGCTCGTTGCTCCACAACAAAAAAAGTATTCTATATAATTCTACACTACCCAAAGTAGAAGTCTATGTTTTCATCAAAAAATCTAATTTGCTAATTGTATGTTTGAGACTATACTTTGAAAACGTCTAAAAAATGACACAAACACAAAATTTTCAAATTTAGTCTCATAAAAAAAGACAGTTCAGAAAATTAATATAAAATTTAAACTTCTCCGGAATAAGTAATAATATTACTCACGATAAGTTCCATTGCAAACAGCAGCCAATTTGGAATCCTCCATCTTCTATTAAAATTCACTAACGTTGTCACTTTCAAGTAATAAATGGAAATGCGTGTTGCACTACGCCCTATCAATAGATATATTTTTATAAAATAGATAGGAATTAAAAAAAATTCTGATAATAATTTTATCTGCCGCTCTTTCGATATTATTTCTTGGAAGAATTGAAAAAAGCAATAAACACCACTTTATGTACATCAATTTTATTGCATTCGCCAAAAGATAACAAAACGTATACAAGTTCTTGTTACTATATTGGATAAATGGATAATATCAATTTGCGATAATGCTCATGTTTCTTTTTCAATTTTTAAACGTTTGCATAAAAAATATTCCGACGACTAATTACGAAAAATAGGCCAGGCTGACGCTTACCCGAAACTAATCAGCAGTTTAGTTTTATCAAATTTTCAAAATCGGTTCAGGATTTTTGGCTAAAACATCGGCGAAATTTTTCACTGATAATTTACAACCAGTTTCAAAAAAATCATCACTCAAAATTAAGCAATAGGAAAACTATTCTAAAGATTTTTGAATGTTTCAAATCGGTGCAAACGATTTTGAGTAAACGTAAATACACAAGTCAAATTTTCGATTACAGACACACCTATAATTTTCTCAATTATTCGGTCAGAATTAGGGTTTATACAAAAACCGACATTTCAGAAAAACGGTTTTCGAAATGTAAATTTTTCAGAAAACCGGTTTTATCGGTTTACGAACTTTATATAAAAAGTCAATTTTTGCTCGACATATCATAACTAAAAGGTTTACTACTGGGTATCCTTTTAAGCATCTATTTTTACTACTAGCAATCTAATTACTAAATGTCTCTTAAAGACATATTGAGTATTAAAAAAAATTATCGGCAAAATTAGTGTGATTTAAAGCAGTTTTTGACTGAATTTATTTAACGTTCAATTTTATGCACTAAACAAATTTATTAACTTCCCGTAGGAGAGTTATAGTAATGGGCCGAAAATCTAAAATGAATTTTTTGCATTTCTCGACGTTTTGAAGGTTTCTGAACATTTCGGCATACCTCAGAAAGAATGGATGTGTGTGTGTGTGTTTTGTATGTCCGCATTTTTGTCTACGTTTTCGGGCGCACGGATGAACCGATTTGAATGGTTTAAAAAGCATTCGATCCTTATTGATAAGGAGATGTGCTGATTACTTTTTGGCAAAGGCAGGTCCCAGGCAGATACAGAGCTAAATGTGCAAAAATGACAATTTCTGAGTGAATTAAGCGTCCGATTTGAATGATCTAAAAATCTTTCTGCTTGTATTGACAAAAATTGCTCTTGACGATAAAAAATTATACATTTTTTTTATTTCCATAAAATATTTTTGTGATCTTGGATTAAAAATTAAAAAAATTACCCCGGCTAAGCACAGTTTAAGCGCCACTATGGTACAAATGTTTAACCAAGTGCGTTTAGACTGTTTATGTACTGGAGCACTTTTCCAATTTTGTAAAAACTATTGAAAAATGTGAAAATGTCGCCAAGCTAAGCACAGTATAAGTGAAAATGTCGCACAGAATTATTTGCAAATGCGTTTAGACTGTGACTGTATGGCAGCACTTTTTCAATTTTGTGTAAATTATTAGGCAACTATTTTTTTTTGAAATTGAATCAAAATGAAATGACGATTTTCAATGTTCTGGAGATAAATTGATTCATGATTTACATTTGATTTGCTCAGACATAACAATAAGATAGCAAAAATAATGAAAGTTACAGTATTTGTAATAATATATTTGAAAACGTTTAAAATTTCTTGAATATTTCATTACGGTACGGGAAGTTCCAGCAATTTGTCTTAAGGCACGATGCCATACACCACTAGTTTTACTTTTTAATTAGTAGAACAAAGAAATAATAGTTGATATGAATAACTTTGAAAATGATTTGTTATTCATGCATGATTTTCACACATGAGAACATAAATATTTTTATGATAGTCAAAGAAAAGAGAAATTCGAATAAATAAAAATAATACATTTTTAAATATTTCTAACTTTTAATTAAAGTAGTTGGTATTGGTATTTTGTCTTGAGGCAAGATACATGAACTTCTCTATATGTGTAAATAATTGATCTAATTAATAAAAAATAAATTAATTATAGAGTGATTAAAAGTATTCCGAGTGGATTTATTACACATCCTTGAAAATGAAAAAACACGTTAATCGGAGTATTTTCTAAAAACAAATTTTCAAAAATCAACAATTTTTATAATTGAACCAGTTTCCGTAGGACTTTAATGATTTAGTAAATTCATTAAGACCAAGTAATATATCGTTATACCAAGTAAATCATCTGATTTTAGTTTTAACAAACGTCAAAAAAAACTACTCATTTCTCAAACTTGGATGAATTTTTAAAATTAAACTACTTGTCGTAAGGCCGTAAATTTTCAGTAAGTTCTATAAGACTATGATATATATCGCCAAAAAAAGTTCCATGAAAATCGGCTTAATTTTTTTTCAACACTTAAAATTACAAGAAAACGGCTCGGTAGATTTTCAACTAAAGCTAAACAGTATCATTCCCAACTAATATCTTTCGAATAGTTTTTGATTTTTTAAAATCGATTTGGTAGTATTAGCTTAAATGTGAATGAAAAGTTTAACACTTTTTTCCAAGTTACAAAGAAACGGCTCGGCTGATCGTCGCACAAAATTGACAAACGATAATCCGCATCGAATACTGGCAATAGAATTTATCATAATATTGGAATTCGATCTGTAGAGAATTTTAGATCTCTCTTGCACTTATGTTTAATTTTGGTGAAAAGTACTCAATATTAGCGATATTGAGTAGTATCGATACCTTTGGCACGATACTTTTTTGGAATCGATAATTTGCCTCGATTCTTTTTTCAGTACTCGGTATCGATATTTTGCCTCGATACTTCTAACACTATACACAACTAGTTACTATCTTGTTTCAACTAATTACTTTTAATAACTCCATTTGTCTTTTACTATATATTTTTTTCAAATTACGTTCTTAATTTTTCAAGTGAAACTTCATAAGTTTCGTTTGTGCGGAAGTGCGCAGGTGCGGCAGACCAGAAGAAAGAGGAGAGGTTGGAGGAAGTAGGAAGAAGGACGCCTCCTGTTGTGTATTAATTAAGTTTATTAGACTTTTCTTAATTATAATAAGAGACATTTTGTTTTTTTGTGTTTTTTTATTTTCGAAATTATATTGAACATCTGCTACCAGCCGGCGACTGGTGTGTCTGTGTCTGTGTGTGTATGCGTGTGAAACGATTTTTCACATTAAATCGTCGTTTTCACGAAAACGGCTCGACCGATTTCAAAAATTTAAAAATCATTCGATGCATCTCGATGAGGACTATCGTTTGTCAGTTTAGCGCGACAATCGGTCAAGCCGTTTCTTTGTTGTTTGCGTCCACGTCTTAGCGCGCATTTCTGAATCGATTTTGAAAATTCAAAAACCGTTCGAAAGGTATTGGTTGGGAATCGTGCTGATTAGGCCCGGGCCTAGGGCGGCAAAATTTGGGGGGCGGCAAATTTTTCAGAATGTCAAAAAAAAAATTATACGCGATAAAATGTCTCGATAATTTATTTCAAGGATTAATCCTGATTTTTTTTATAAATTTACAGATTGTTTTATATAAAATAGAATGTAAGTCGTAATGGGCGAGTGTAATCATCGTATAACAATAACATGTCTCTTGGTGGCTATCCAGAAAGACTTTTTAAGTGTTTATTCATGATCTCAAATGTCGTTCAAGTTTAATTTATTACCGCAACGATTAATAATTTATCTTCAAAATCTTGCATCGCAAAAATGGTTAGAATTTCAAAAAAAAAAAATCTTTCAAACTTTAAAACAAGAGTGTTTACTGAATAAAATTCCAAAAGTTTCTAATTTTATGAGAACTGTGACAAGTTCAAGAAAATTTGTAAGTGATGGTCAGCAAGCATTAGGTTCATCTGTTGTAAGTATTTTGATTACTTGTTAGTATTTTTTTAAGAATAACTTGAAAAAAAAAACGATTTTTTTAATATTTTTGAGCTTTTCGAGTTTGCGTCAATCGACGTCAATTTCGATGTAATGAGCTTAGTAACTTACCGGATGCTAAATTATAGTAATTGCAAAAAAAAAAAATCAAATTTTGCCAAAACGTTCAGAGGGCATTTAAGCATGCAGATATATAACATATATCCAAATACTATAAACTATCCTACGGAAAGTTAATTATGAATATAATAATGTCAGTTGTATATTTTTGTTTTTAGCCGGAATTAAACGCTACTTCAGCACAAAATACAGAAGCACAACCAAAACCTTCTTTATTAGAAGATACAAATTCAAGCAGAACAACTTCGATTTTTTTTATCAAAAGATGCGAAAGAAAATTTATTAGCAACCGATACGATTCAATTGAGTGATGATCCTTCTTTCTGGAATTTAAACGATGAAACACGAGATTTTATAACTAGAAACGGTATACCAACAAATAATGTAACAGATTTTAAAAATTCGAGAAATGTTTATAACGATAAAACGAGATTTTGTTCTGAAAGTTTGTTCAAACGGGCTTTGAAAAATGGAGAAATACAACGTCGTGAGTGGTTAATATATTCAGAAAACTAGTGGGGTGGGTGGCATCGTGCCTTGAGGCAAATTGCTGGAACTTCCCGTACCGTAACGAGATAATCGAGGAATATTAAATGTTTTCAAATAGATTATTATAAATATTGTAACATTGTCTAATATTTATAAGAATTATATAAACTGAATTGCAGAGTTGAAATTATTTGTTTAAAGTATATTAGAACTTTAATCAGAATTAAAAAATATATCTGAATTATTTTCGATATACAAAAAATTAAAAAAAAAAAAAATGATACAAAATTTTTTTTCCAAAATCAATTATTTTGTTAAGACAAGCAGAAAGTTCTTTGAATCAATTGAATCGGACGTTTACTTCTTTCAAAAACTGCCATTTTTTGTATATTTAGCTCTGCATCTCCGAAATCGCTGGGCCTGCTTTTGCGAAAAACTAATAACCCCTTCTCCCAATCATTACTAATTGAATGTTTTTTAGATCATTCAAATCGGATGCTACGTTCTCTCAAAAACTCGATTTCTATTTTTTGCACTCTTTGCGCCTTATCTCCGTAACTGCTGGACCTGCTTTTGCCAAAAACTAATCAGCACATCTCCTTATCAATAGGAATCGAATGTTTTTTAAACCATTCAAATCGGTTGATCCGTACGCCCGAAAACGTGGGCGAAAATTTGTATCCATACATACATACACACACACACACACACACATCCATTTTTTCTGAGGTATGCCAAAATGTTCAGAAACCTTCGAAACGTCGAGAAATGTCAAAATTTTCAATTCCGATTTTCGGCCCATTACAATAACTTACCCTACGGGAAGTTAAAAAGGGTCGATATTTTGTGCTCTATGCTTACTATTTGGTAGAAGCGGTGAAGTAAACGCTTTTACTGGTGACGAATTTCGAGATTGGAAGAACTCAAAAGCGCGCATTGAAGCTCATGAAAACTCTGATTTTCATAAAACCAACGTTAGTCACTTTCGAGTGTTCAAGTTCGTACTGTCATTCAAGGTCGTGTTGATCAACATCTAATGAAACAGCTCGATAACGAAATTTTATACTGGAAAAAAGTTTTACATCGAGTAATTGCGATCGTTAAATCTCTCGTCATAAAAGGGCTGCCATTCAGAGAACATTCGGAACGAATTAGAGATCAACATAATGGAAATTTTTTGGGTTCTGTCGAGCTTCTTGCTGAATTTGACCCATTTTTACAAGAACATTTAAAATTATACGCGCATCCTGGTCGTGGAAATACCTCTTATTTGTCTAAAACAATTTACGAAGAAATAATATCATTAGTTCAAAGTAAAGTATTGAAACATATCACCAAGGAAGTGCAATCTGCTAAGTATTTTAGTGTAATTGTGGATTCTAAGCCTGATATTGCTCAAGTAGATCAACTGACAATAATTATTAGGTATGTACGTGATAATGGCGAAATTGTCGAAAGATTTTTAGAATTCATTCCAAATACTGGCCATAAGGCTCAAGATATTGAAGATGCTCTATTAAAATCTCTTGAGAGAAATGGTTTGGATATTATGAACTGTCATGGTCAATCATACGATAATGAAAGCAATATGTCAGGTGTATACTCAGGAGTGCAGTCAAGAATCAAAGCAACTAACCCCTTAGCAGAATACTTTCCTTGTGAGGCTCATTCCTTAAATTTAGTGGGAACTTGTGCAGCGGAATCTGTAACCGAGGCTGTCGGCTTTTTTTCTACTCTGCAAGAATTATACAATTTTTTACCATTTCAACCAATCGTTGGGAGATCTTAGTACCGCATACAAGTTTAAGAGGGTTGTTCTATTTTTGTTACAAAAAATGCAAGGTATTTGTTTTTGTTTTTCTCGAAATATATTGATTATAGAAACACGCGTTTTTTTTAAACAAAAATTACAAAATCATAGAATATTAAAAAATTTTTTTTTTTTGTCGCCGTCATTTGTTAACCAGGGGGCGCCAATTCGGCCTTGCAAAATCGATCTCTTTTGCGGTGCCACAGATAAATCCGTTGCGCATCGCCTGAAACAAAAAAAAACGAAACTACGTTGAAGAAGAAGGTTCAATCCAGTCCCCCTACCAAAATAAAAGAAAAAAAAGCAAAAAGGAAAAAAATGGCAGCTATTTTTTAAAAAAAAGGTGTTAAGAAGGGCATTTTTTTGGGATGAGAAGCTTCGCAAATTTTTTTTGCGTAATGTTATCAAGTTGTTTGAGGTAGGGGGACTAGGTATTGCAGTGGTGAACAAATTAAAAAAAAATGCAAGTCGATCCGACAAGCTAGATACACCATTTAATTTAATGTACTAATACACCATGGTGTTCAAAGGTGCTGACACATTAAAAAGGTCATGTGCATGACGTATTATAATGAAAAAGAGAGCAGCTGGCATACAATAGCTCGCGGAGCGATGAAAAAAACGGTTCAGATGATCATACATATAGAGATATATAAATCTATAACTTCGTCAAAAAAATAGATATTGAGATTTTTTTTTTAAAATAATTCTAAGGTTTTTAGCTTTCATAATATCAAAAAATCTCAAAATCGAAAAAAAATAAATAAAAAAAGAACAAACAACCCCCTTAAGACTCAAAAGCCTTTCTCAAACTCGTTGGTCTGCTCGACATGATGCTTGTTACGCATTAGAAAAAGAGTGGTCTGGCACAATTATTGCATTGAAATTTATTGCCGAAAACAAATATGAAAAACCTACAACACGGTGTCAGGCTAGGGGATTGCTGCAAAAGTACAGCATTTGGAAACAGGAATACTAGTCGTTGTTTGGAATGCAATTTTGGAACGCTTCAATGCTGCTAGTAAAAATTTCAAGACTCAAAATCTAATTTATCATCTGTTTCACAAATGTATAGTTCTTTGGCATTATTTTTACAGGACATGAGAGATAAACAATTTTTCGAATACGAGGAAAAAGCCAAAGCACTTTCTGGGGTAAAAAACTATTATCATGACAACCATCGTAAAAGAACCCGAAAATTTCAGGCAGACGAGTCACAAGAGCATGAAAGGGTATTTTTATGTGGAGAAGAAAATTTTTGAATAAATATTTATTATCGAATTTTAGACACTTTAAGTGTTCAATTGGCGGGCCTTAAAAGTTCTTATCATACGCTCTATGAAAAATTTAATATTTTTGACTATTTGTCTGAAATGGAAACTAGAGAATTAAAAATTCGGGCCGATGAGCTAGTCACTAAGTATCCTGAAGATTTGGAAGACACATTAGGAAATGAATGCATTCATTTGCAACACCTACTCATAGAATCTTTTTCAAGTAAGGAAGATGTTCGTTCCGCACAAGGAATATATAATTTTTTGCATTCTAATAATCTTCGCGAAGTTTATCCAAATATAGACATTGCTTTACGGATCTTTTTGAGTTACAAATTGATCAGGAGAAAGGTCTTTTTCTACTTTGAAAAGGGTAAAAACATATTTACGAGCAAGTATGGGCCAAGATAGACCTAGTGCTTTAGCATTACTGACTATCGAAGCACAACTTGTTCAAGAAATTGATTACAATGATATGTATAAATATGAATGAATAGCTATAAATTATAGTTTTAGAAAAATGTGTATTATATTTATACTATATTGTTCATAATTAATAAACATTAATTTGTATTATTTAACAATTAATATTTCAAAAAATAAAAAATATATCTAAGTAATTTAAAATAAAAACTAGTGGGGTGGGTGGCATCGTGCCTTCCCGTACCGTAACGAAACGTTCGAGGAATATTGAATGTTTTCAAATAGGTTATTATAAATATTGTATTATTGTCTAATATTTATAATAATTATATAAACTGAATTACAGAGTTGAAATTATTTGTTTAAGGTATATTAGAACTATAGTCAGAATTAAAAATAAAATCTGAATTATTTTCGATATACAAAAAATTAAAAAAAAAAAAAAAAAAAATGGTACAAAATTTTTTTTTTCCAAAATTAATTATTTTGTTAAGACAAGCAGAAAGTTCTTTGAATCAATTGAATCGGACGCTTAGTTCTCTCAAAAACTGCCATTTTTTGTACATTTAGCTCTGTATCTCCGAAATGGCTGGGCCTGCCTTTGCGAAAAACTAATAACCCTTTCTCCCAATCATTACTAATGGAATGTTTTTTAGATCATTCAAATCGGATGCTCCGTTCTCTCAAAAACTCGATTTCTATTTTCTGCACTCTTTGCTCCTTATCTCCGTAACTGCTGGACCTGTCTTTGCCAAAAACTAATCAGCTATTCTCCTTATTAATAGGAATCGAATGTTTTTTAAACCATTCAAATCGGTTGATCCGTACGCCCGAAAACGTGGACGAAAATTTGTATCCATACATACATACACACACACACACACACACACACACACACACATCCATTTTTTCTGAGGTATGCCAAAACGTTCAGAAACCTTCAAAACGTCGAGAAATGTAAAAATTTTCAATTCCGATTTTCGGCCCATTACAATAACTTACCCTACGGGAAGTTAATATATTTTTTGTCTATTAAAATAAAATAAAAGAAATTTTTGTCTATTTAAAATAAAAGAAATTTTTGTCTATTAAAAAGGGCGGCTGATTTCATAGGGCCTAGGGCGGCAGATAGCTTAATCCGCCAAAATTTGCTAACGTTATCACTTTCAATTAATAGATCGAACTGCGCATTATATTTTTATCATATTAATTTGTATGAGGTGATAAAAAGCCTTATTACCTATAATTATATATCGATAATGTTTCCCGGAATTTGTTGCGATAAACACCGTGTTTATCGCAACAAATTCATGGAAACAGTAAATAATCGACTTAATCAATAAAAAATAAATTAATTTATGAGTGATTAAAAGTATTCCGAGTGGATTTATTACACATAATTCTCTGACGTTAACTCGGAGTATTTTCAAGAAGCAACTTTTCAAAAATCAACAATTATTATATTTGAACCAGTTTCCGTAGGATTTTAATGACCAATTACTCAATCGATATATCTAGTAAATCGTCTAATTTTAATTTTAACAAATGTCAAAAGAACTCATTTCTCAAACTTTGATGAATTTTTAAAATTAAACTACTTGTCGTAAGGCCGTAATATTTCAAGAAGTTGTATAAGATCATGATATATATCATCAAAAAAAGTTTCATAAAAATCGGCTTATTTTTTTTCAACAGTGAATTACAAGAAAACGGCTCGGTAGATTTTCACCTAAAACTAATATGTACCAACCAACTAATATCTTTCGAACAGTTTTTGATTTTTTAAAATCGATTCGGTTGAATGAGCTTAAATGTGGACGAAAAGTTTAACACTTTTTTCCAAATTTCAAAGAAACGGCTCGGCCGATCCTCGCACGAAATTGACGAGCGATAGTCCTCATTGAGACATATCAAATGGTTTAGAAATCAAATTCAATTTTCAATTCAAAAATAGAATTGTATCCTAAAGTAATATTTAAGCTTTTTCTGTAGGCTCAAACATCTGAACTAAAATTATGTCAAAAACATGCAACGACTGAAGGCGCAATAAAAAATAATTGAATTACTAAAGTCGCTGTAAAAAATATAAAATAGGTGATAAAAAGTAAAAATTAGAGTTGTCACATTGCAAAAATGATTGCAAAGTGACAGTTGTCAATGCAACATTACAAAAAAATAAAGACAAACTATTAGTGCATGGCATGGTGCCTTAAGGCAAATTGCTGAAACTTCCCGTACCGTAACGAAATGTTCGAGGAATATTAAATGTTCTCAAATAGATTATTATAAATATTGTAACATTGTCTAATATTTATAAGAATTATATAAAACTGAATTTCGAAAATAAAATTATTCATTTCAAGTATATAAGTGAGCTAGAATTTTAGTTAGAATTAAAATACAAATCCGTATTATTTCCGTCATTAATTTTTTTTTCTTGAAACGAACGAAAAAATTCTGCTTTCCACAAAAATAATCGTTTCGTCAATACAAAAAAGGGTTTTTGAATAATTCAAATCGGATGCTTCCTTCTCCCAAAAACTGCCATTTTTGGCACATTTACCACCGTATCTCCGAAACGACTGGACCTGCACCTGCCAAACACTAATTAGCACGTCTCCTTATCAATAGGAATCGAATGTTATATGAATCATTCAAATCGGTTGATCCGTATTCTTGTAAACGACGACAAAAATTTGTATCCGCACATACACACATGCATAAAAAAATTGATGCATTGACCTTAGAAAAATCTAAAGTATGGCAAAATGTTTAGAAATGATAGGGAGATGTGCTGATTAGTTTTTGGCAAAGGCAGGCCCAGCAGTTACGGAGATAAAGAGAAGAAAAGAGAAGTGCAGAAAATAGAAATCGAGTTTTTGAGAGAACGGAGCATCCGATTTGAATGATCTAAAAAACATTCAATTGGTAATGATTGGGGGAATTATTTATTAGTTTTTGGCAAAAGCAATCCCAGCCATTTCGAAGATACGGACCTAAATGTGCAAAAAATGACAGTTTTTGAGAGAACTAAGCGTCCGATTTAAGTGATCAAAAATCATTCTGCTTGTGTTAACAAAATAATTCATTTTGAAAAAAAAATTTTTGTTCCTTTTTTTTTTTAATTTTTTATATATCGAAAATAATTCAGATTTTAATTCTAATTTTGACTAAAGTTCTAATATACGTTAAACAAATAATTTCAACTTTGCAATTCAGTTTATATAATTCTTATAAATATTAGACAATGTTACAATATTAATAATAATCTATTTGAAAACA